TTCATGATGGACTCTACTCCTAAGCAATTAACTTCTATCTGCTTGCCTGGAGCCAAAGCAGTAGCAATTTGAATTGTCTCATTCTAGCAGCTGCAAGACTTTCAAGATGATGACTTTCAAAAGGATTTTCATAGAAAGCTTTTCTTACCTGACACACTGGAAGAGATGTGTCATTTTAAACCAGCTGTGTATATACTGCTTTAACCCTGCTGAAGACAAATCATACAATCTGCATCATGGCTGTATAAATTCACAACTTTTCTTGCCAGACTTCAGGTAATTTAAGTGGCTCTTCGTGTATGCATACAACTGTCCATTACCCTGTCAGTGTACCTTATTTGCAGTAAAGGGAGGAAGCAAAGGAATGACTATACCAGCTTAACAACCTACTTTTAGGATAAGAACACTCCTAATGTAGTACTTGCCAGTATTAATACATGGAGGAGAGCAGAGAGAAGCAGCACACACAGTAACACTTCTCAAAACTTAAAACAGAAATCCCAGACTAAAGTTCTGTGATTACATTTAAATACATGTTTTCCTTCTCTTAAGGACTGGGGTTCGATGTCTGTCCTAGAAATTCTTTGTTGAATTGTCTAACTTTTGGACAGTGTTCCTTCCCAGAAGTGACACGTTTTGTGTAGTTAATGAAGAGCACTGCAGAATTTGGACAGCCTGACATGTCTTTAAAAGTCCTGGTTCAAAATATTCATACACTGATCTCTCCTAAAAAAGGCATGATGGAAATACTCATTGGGTTTCAGAGATGCAAAAATGTATAATCTTTAATTTCCTGGGGGTTTTAAATGCAATGTCAATATTCTTATGTTTTTTTAATTCCAGCAAAAATAAAAGCAATTTCACTGTATATTTTTCAGAAACTGTCTTTCTGAATAGCTCCTCTGTTTTCTGCATTTGCACTGCTCCTGTGGTTTTTCCTATGACAGTTAACTTCATGCTGTTTGGAGAAGGGTGATGTGAACAGACAGCTTGTACTTTTGTTTTTGTGCTGGAAATGCAATGCCACACAGCCCAGACTCAGTTAAGAAAGTCACAGTGAAGGTGTTTGGATACATGAAAACAGGAGCAAAATGCATAAAAGCTGGGGGAAAAGAAACTCTCAAATGTAAAAATACACGGGGAAATAAACAATGGAAACAAGATGAGGGTAAAAGTTTGGAGAAGATAGAATTCCATAATGAGAAGCTCTATGTAGTTCTTCACAAGCATGCCCATGGATCTAGACAAGATCTTTATAAACTTTGTGATTTGGCTGCTTTCCAGGGAATCTGCCCAGGTCAGACTGACGTTGCCAGTTGTGGGAAGAGCACAGGGATGCTGATTTTTCTAGTTTTTTCCTTTTAAATACACATAAGCAGAGCTTGTTCTGTTACCTGCCCAGGTGAAAATGCTACCAGCTTTCAAGGTTGCCTTTATGCTCTCAGTGAGTGAGCAGTGATGTTTTTGGTGGATAAGTGATAAAAGTATTTGGCACTGGATAACGAATTGTCTTTCTCTTGCATGTCACATAATGTGGTGGTGTCACTGTGCAGCAGCTCGCACCAGGGAGGGGAGGCAGAGTGAGACCCCTGCTCCCAGCCCAGCTCCCTCATTCTCCATGCAAGTGACCCACCAGAGATTCAAACAGCAATAACCCCCCAGCACCACCCCTGTGAAGGATTAATGCCCAAGTCATGAAAACAGGAGAGACTAAATCCAGTATTTTGTGTGGGGGAAAAAAATTCACAGCAAGATAAAAATGTGTGCTATCACAGTTCAGACTTATATTCCCTGAACTAATGGTTCATGGTGCCACCTTTTGTTTAAAATGGGCAGCTCAAGGCCTGTTTTGCATGATGACTTTATGCTGTAAACATAAACCTGGACAGTGAGTGTTGATCACAGCTAGCATGTTCTGTAGCTGTTCCCTGTGCTGGCTGCTTGAGATTTTACTTGTACATTTAAAGCACTGCAATTTAGTTAATGTGCATTTGGCTGCTAATTAAATAAAATATTCAGAGGCTAAAAGTACCATCTGTAGGGGGTTTTCATACTCAAGTCTTCCAAGTAGAAGAAAAAACAAAATTTTTTCAGCAAAGTTTTCCTGATATTCTGCCATTGTGGCAGCCAAATATAAAACAAACACCAAAGGCTGGATTTGGGATCTTCCTAAAATAAGAAAAAGAATGCTGGAATTTCAGGGAGTGCGAGAACACTCTGGTGTTTCAGTCCTTCAGGCATGTTTACAGTTGTAAGAAATGGTCATGACTTCAGCCAGAGTAGTGGCAGGGTTACAGACAGGTACCTGTGGCTGTGAGGATGGAGCCTGTGGAGCTGGCCTGGATTAGTTTTTAACTTTCTGCCATGGCCATGGTACTGTTGGTGGTGTGCTGCTGATCAGCTCATTTCCAAGGGCCTGGCAGTGCCCCAGTTTGCTGCTGAGGTGGTTCTCAGGGTGAGCATCAGGGGCAGGGAGGCACTGCGGGTGTCCCTGAGCGTTAGCGCCGGGCCCTGTGCGCGCTGTGGCCTCCTCACGTGATGCTCCAGGAATGCACTTTCCTTTGATTATTTTCCTTGACCCAGATCTCTTCCAAATATGGTCTCAGCTTAAACAAGTTTGTGTTCTTAGAGCCTGTGTTTGCAGAATAAATTCTGGCTTCCAGCTAACCATGGCTGGCTGTATGGGGGAGTGGAGGCAGAGAGCAACCTAAAAATGCAAAAATAAAAGGGGCACAGCTGGATTCAAATTTGTCCCAAAATGTACATTTTGTACAATGTTTATACAATGCTAGGCAGGAAGATTTGTTTTCATAGTTTTAGCTACAGTGGAAACAATTGTTTTTAAATAAATGACCATTAGTCTGAGTGATTGCCACCCAAACATTGGTTCTCTGAGACTTTTCATCTGAAACAGATTTAAATATTTTTCTTTAGTCAAACTGAGAGATACAAGATTGTTAAGCTGACCAGCATAAGCAGAGGTAAATTAATTAACATCTCAGATCTAAGTTGTTCTAGTGAGCTAAGAAATTATTAATAACCTACTGTGGAGTGAGCATATGATTAAGTTATTTTACATTTTGGCCATTCTAAGTATGAAGTTCGAAATCACAAACATTTCTCAAAATAATAAATACCCCATGGCAACTCTTCTGAAATGAATAGCCAGGCAAGGAAAATGCTACACTCAGAGTTAAGATTAAGGATTTTCATTAAAGCCTACATTTCCTCTGCCTGTGCACGTTAGCTAGGAAGTGAATTTGTAGAAATGATCAGCTCAGATAATTCACAGTTAAATAGACAGGAGGCAGTTCCCATACTGACTTCTCCCTGTTTGCTCAGCATGCTCTGGAGCCCAGGACTGGTGAGAAGCTCCTCTATTGGCAGAAGGAGGAACTTGTGCTTTGAGGCCCTTCCTCTCTTTGAAAATGTGGATCCTTCGGCGAAATCTCCACAGAGAGAAGGAGAATGGCATTTTGTGGTTTGGATGTGGGAAGGCTCAACATTTCATTGCATCACTTATCTCCCAGATAATTAATGCAATCATTTGGTACTGCTAATGAGTCAGTCCTTTAGAGGAAGAAAAGGAGGAAGCAGATTCACAACCAGAGGAGCACCCGTGCTTCAGGCACTGGGAGCTGTGACAAAAGAAGACAGTGGCAGAGTGGTTTATCAGTGTTTGGTCCCTGTTACAGTTTCACACGAGGGGACTGGGCCCTGTTGCTACCACATGACAATTTGAGCTGGCTCAGCTGGTGTGGGTTTGCCTGGATTTTGGTGCAGGGCAGTGACACCAACCTGGCCAGCACAGAGCCATGGCCAGTTCCAGGTCAGTTAGATCTTGCTCTGCTCTGCCAGCAACAGCCTCGAGAGCAGCTGGGTTCCAGCTTCCCAGCTAAGGATGGAGCCTTTCACCTCTCACACTGCACTTCCACTGCTCCAGGGTCTGCTGGCTTCTGTGTTCTGTTGAGACCACAATTTCTACAGAAATCAGGATAAGCCCAGCCTGACTTCATCACCTTCCAGATTAAAATATTGCAAATAACAGGACACCAAAAAGGTATCAAATGGAACCATTTTCCATTGGCATTTCCAACAGGCGTTTGAACAGCAGAAAGATGAGCTTTGTAAATAAACTGAATCATTTGCTAAATTAAGCTAAATAAATGCTGCTTTTCCCTGCTGCTTTCTTATATTGCAAGTGAGGATTCCTGCATGCATTAGGAAGAAATGGCAAGAATACGAATCATCATCTTGGCAGGATGTTTCACAGCAATTTTCGGCCTGAAGAGCTCCAAGTATTGTAGAAATGGAATATCTTAGTGTTGGAGTACAGCAGTCTGCTCCTAAAACAACAGCAGGAGAGGAAAATATTTTTAAAAGCAGAATTAACCATTTGTGAAAGCTGCAGGTTTGTTTCCTGGTCTTTTTTGCTTTTATTATCTAAAACCTCATCTGAATAATACACAATATTTTTCAGGCTCTTCTGTGTGTCAGTCATTTAAGGACCAATGTGGTCATTCAGGCCCTGGACCAAGGGTGCTCATGAAGGGCAGGAATCTGTTATGGCCATTAACAAATGTGCATTAAAAAATACGTGGGTCACAGCCTTCCACCAAGTGGGCAAAAGGTTGGATGGTGAAATGTGCTGGGCACTTAAAATGTTTCTATGGGATCTTTCTGTAAACAGTTGAAGTTTGAATTCCTGCAGTTGCTGTTCCTGCTTGCAGGTATGAAACTGTGTTTATAGGGAAGTGCTACTGCAAGACTGAACTGTTCAGAACACGGATGGATGAAACAAAGCATTTAATGACCAGTAGTCCCACAGATGGTCCATGGCTGGACCCAGGCCCGTGTGATCTACGCTGGAAACAGCAGCTGTCCCCTCTGCAGAGTCAGCAGGGACACAGAACTCTGTAACACATCCTTTTAACAGCCCTGAAGCTGGACTACTCTGAATGGATTGCAGCGTGTGGTGGAGTGGAGGTGATGGAGTCACCGCTCCTGGATGTGTGTGAGTAAAGACTGGATGTGGCACTCAGTGCCACGGTCTGTTTGACGAGCTGGGCATAGCTTGGGCTCCGTGACTCCAGAGGCGTTTTCCAACCCAAGTGAGCCTGTGTGTATACTTTTAACACAGAAGATACCACACTGCTCTGTCCGAACGGCAGTAATGGAAGCAGCAGTAATATCTACCCGGTCCAGGAATGTGCAGAACCATGCACGGTGCCTGTGCCCTCACCCACCTCACCTCTGCCCGCCCACCCCACAAAATGGCGGCGGCCGCGCGGCCCCGACCCCCGGCGGCCCCGGCCGGGCCCAGGGCCGGGCCCGGGCCGTGCCCCCCGCGCGGGACACGGGACACGCGAGGCCGCCCCCGGCGCGATGTCCCCGGCTGCGGCCGAGGCGGAGGGAGCTGTGCCGCCCCTTTGTCCCCTCAGCCGGCCCTTGGCCGCTCCAGGTGGGGCTGGGCCCTCCTGCTCTCCAGCCTGCGGCCGGGAATTGTTCCTTCCCTTCGGCACCCTCGGCTCCGTGCGTGGGGCTGTGTGTGTGTGCCGAGCTGTTAGAGCGTATTCCCATTCGCCTGGGGCATCTGGATGTGTGTGTCCAGCCCATGGATGTGTTTCCTGACACACCTGAGTAGCGGATGCCTTCGCTCACCTGCACATGGGGTACCTGGGGAGCCTCACGGTGTCCCTTCTGTGCCTCCTTCCGTTCTGATATAACGCGTGTCAGTGCTGTGTATTCTCGTGTTCAGTTATGGATAGTTTAATGCATTCTTGTTTGTGCATAGTCCTTCTGGTGTAATTAATTAACGAATAGTTGCGCCTTACATTGTTGTGCAGTTCTCCCTGGATTAACAGTTATTTTGATCCGTGTGTTTTTTATTTGTGTAAAATGAAAGGGTAAGAGGGGCACTTTGTTGAAAGATTTCTTAAATTATGGTTTATTTCTATTTCAGTCCTCAGATGCCACAATTTCTGTTAGAATTTTGTGTGTGTGCATGTCTGTACCTGTATCGCTCATATTTTGGATGCAGCCTTAAATAAAAAAAGTCCAACATGTCTTTCCATTGGCCATTGTTGAACAAATTCAACAAGTGGACTTTGTCTTTCAGCTGTCTCACACAAGGACACTGCCGTGGCTGTGTTTGGGTGTGTGGACAGGTGTCCAGAGCCTTCTGCATGGTCCTGTCACAGCGAAGCACTGTGAAAATGCACATCAGGAAGGATCCCTCTCTTAGGCTTGAAAGTCCTTTTGTGGTAGCAGGCTAGGGAGATGAGAGGGTAGGTGAGAACACCCACTGAGATGAATGAGCACCTCTTACCTCTCGAATTGTTCGAGACTGCAGCCCTGGGGAGAAGAGGGTGGGCGAGAACACCCACGGAGATGAATAAGCATCTCCAGCTCCTCAAAGCCCTTGTTCTAGGCTATGGCAAGGGCTGCTCCTTTTTATTTGGGAATAGCCCCTTGAGGTGAATGGACAATTCACAAGCACTAATAATCCTTTCTTTATAAAGATCCACCTCTACCTGCTCCATCATTCATATGCATATTTGGATTGCCTTGAAGTTTGGTAATTGCAGAACCACAGAATAATGAGGGTGCAGTTTCACCTACTCTCCTAAGCCAGTCTGTCTGGCCTGATGGCTGCCTCCATTCTGTGCTGCTCCATCCTCGGCTCTGGGGTTTTTCTCCAACCTCCATTCCCTGTGCTGTGTTTGGGACTTGTCATGCCTGTCATCCAGATCTCTGAAGTCTCTACTAAGACCGTCTTTTTGAGATCTTGTTATTTTTTTTAAGTAACAGTACCAGGGAGTGGGGTCAGTGGCAGCCAGTGGGTAATGTGGCTTAGGCTGACCTGGCACTGTCTCTGTGCTCATGGAAATGTGGGTTTCTGTTATTCTCTTGCCCCCGTGGCTACACACTGTTGCTTTTGCTTTCTTGTTGGATTAGTTTTCACCTGGATCAGATCCCTGGTGTTGATTTGTCCTGCTCTTGCACAATAGTTAGTGTTGGCAGAAGGAGTGGGAATGTGGGAGAAGAGGAAAGGGCAAGATTGTCCTGTTCAGAAAAAGGGTGGATTCAGAGTGGCTTTTCTGTTGATTATGAAACCAAACTGTCAGTTGTGCCAGTGTGACTGGAGGTGACCAGATAATTAAATCATTAATGCCATCTTCCTTAATTTTTGTGACGCTGTTTTAAGTCTTTCAAGGTGTCCTGTTCATCATCATCAGCATCATAGATGATCTTAGTTTTGGGGTGGGAAGAAGTCAGCTGACATCCTTGCTAATGTTAGCATCTGGTGAAACTCTGCCCTTGGATCTGGCTTATTTGTTTTTTAGGGTAGAAAGCCTAACAATTACTTGTTTGCCTGGTTTTGCAGTCAAATAATGAGTGACCCCTAAAAGTTCCGTTTACTTTACACTTAGCCTAGTGGTGCTTGCCAACATCAACTCTTTGTGAGAGCAGTTGAACTTTGTCTGTAATACAAAGCTGGTGCTTAGGCTTTGGAGAGCTTTGTTTTTCCTGGGGTGTCTGAATCAAAAGACTTGAGCTCCCCGGGGGCACAGGGCCCGCAGCCAGGTTGCAGCTCTGGTGAGGAGCAGGAGGCACAGATGCTGATGGGGGAAGGCTCCCACTCTGCCTGGCACGTCTGGGGAAGGGGAGTTTGAAGGGGGTGGATGTTTCAGCTCCAAATGACTCTTCTCTTCTGTCATATAAGAAAATGACTCTGGGTTACCAGGGGAAGGACCATACTTGTAAGTTGTATTGCTTGGAGAACTCTTAATTTCTAAGAATAACCAAAATTCCAAAATTATGTTGTCTCTTGATTTGTAGCCTTACATTATCATGTAGTGACTCTAGGAAGTCACCACTGTAAAGAAATAATTTTATATTTTGGCGTTTTATGTGGTGTCAAATAGTGAGAAAATACATATTATGGACCAACTGCAGGAGGGCCTTCATAAGCACAGTGTGGAAAAGCTGGTTATCGAACTTCACAAGTAGATAAGATTTCAGTTGTAGGTTCAGGTGTTACAGTGTATGTTGTGCCACTGATAGAATTTAATACTTAGTATTTTTAAAATATTTACACTTATGTGACAACTCCAGGTAAGGTGCATCTTTGTGAAAGCAAGCAGTTACAGGGTTTTAAAAAATGGGTAAGGCCCTGCTTTAGCAAGAGTTAATGTGTAGAAAAGGAGCTAATAAAGGGGACATGTGAAAACCATTTAAATTGATAGAATTCTTAGGGAGTGATGACAGGATTTCTCATACATGCTATCCTAAGAGAGAAGAACAGAAGTGACACCATATTTCTGTTGTGGTCTTGAAAGGCAAAATGTTCCTCCTGCTGCTGTTGCTGCTCAGCCCCTGGAAAGCAAAGGAGCCCTGTGGCGCTGCCGGGCCCTGGAGCTCAGCACAGAGCGTCCTTTATGAGGGATCCTGGACAGAGCCGGGCCTGTGCGCTGCTCCGCGGCGTTCGCTGGCCACAGTGGCCTGCAGAGCGCTGCGCACAAACCATGCTTGTGGCTGCTTGTCTTGTTAAGTAGCGAGTCACATACTTTGTATGTGTTGGATGATGATGAAAATGTGCTGCTACAGCCTCCCACAGCCCCATCCATACTGTGGAAACTATTGCAAGCTCAGCAGTGAAAAACCTCAGAAAAATGAGTGGGTGTTCTATACCAACCCTCATTAAAAGCAAAATTGTCCCTGTTGGTGTGAGGAGTTTATCCTTCCTGGTATTCATAATTTGGAAAGCTGTAATATAGGTGGACTTCGAGTTTTGTGCAGTTTTGCTGTGATTCAGGTGTGTTTTAGCAGAAGGCAGAGGCACTTGCTGAGTCAGGTCTGTTCTGGCACTCACCAGGGCACAGAAGGCAGGCTGGGGTGGGTGAGAGCAGAGCAGTTGCCTGCTGCTTGTGCTGGAACTGATTATTCTGCTCGGTGCAGATAATGGGTCTCAGGTCCAGTACTCAGTATAAAATAACAACTGAGCAAGTGCCTCTTCTGGGGGGCCTTGTGAAGTTCTCTGCTTATCAAAGGTTTCACCTTGTCTACACTGGCAGCTAAATCATGCCCGTGAAGAAGGCAAGATATGATGTTTGAAAGCCAAAGATGGCATCACATCACAGCCCAAGAGGATGTTTTCATGTAATGTATTTGAGTAGCTTTGATATTACAATTTTTGTAGTGAACAGGTCATGAATGGGAATTTCCTGCAGGAGGAAAGCCTGGAGAGAGAGAGATGGGCCATAACAATACTGGGAGCCTTAGCAGCTGTGAGCTAGAGCTGTATGCTAAGCTGTATTTTAGGGATATGAGGGGGGTCATGACCATGTCCAGACATCCTCCTGTAGCAAGGCTTTGTGGGGCCCAGCTGGATTGTCCTGTTCTTCCTAGCAGTGGTGGAACTTCTGTGCTTTGTTGCATGAGAAGCTGCCTGTTTTTTACAAAGCCAGCTTATCCAGTGCCTCCTCCCTTCCCCTGCACATTTATAGATATAAGTTACCAGGCACTAAAAGATCCGTACAGAAAATCCTCCACAGTCACTTTCCATCGAATCTTGTTGAAAACAACTTAATTTTCTTGTTGCAGTGCCTCATCTTAACTGTTTGTTGATACAGAGATATTCAGCCAGCAGTTAAATCAGTTTAAAAACTGATTTAAGTAAACTGTTGCAAATATTTTTACATGTCTATTTACAGGTTTAAAATGAGAAAGTTCTATCTTATTGGAAACTTTTTGGAGGGTTTTATTCAAGAATGATTGCACACAAAGTTGTATGTGTTTAGCTATACAATTTAGCTAGAGTGTAATTTTAAAATTGGCATAGCTTTGCATTTTATACCAATTTTCTTTTATACTGTATATCTCCCTGCCAAGAAACCTGCTTCCACTCCACGGGTAGACTCTCTACATTCTTTTATTCCCTACTGTAATGTGAATGAAGGAAAATTATGCTGGAGATTCCATGGTAGGGTAATTAAGCTTGATTACAGATTTCCTTTTAAAAACTTTCAAAAAAAGTCTTAAATCAAAGAAGATAAAAGAGGAACCTTGGCTACTACTTGAAATTTGCATGGTTTGTTGAAAAATGATGCAGAGAGGGGGGAAATGCATTAAAAAATCCTATTGGCAGTCTTCCACTGAGATTGGGGGTTTTGTTAAGCTTCTTCTAGAAAGAAATTTTAAACAGTTACTGATTTGTACTGTCTCTCTTCATTCATCCATTCCAGTGATGCTGGTTGTTGCCAGATGGAAGGTAAAGTATCATCAGCCAGGGCTTGTGTGTGAAGTCAGCGTTTGTCAGTGGTATTGCAGTAGACACAAAGCACATGCATATGGTGATGAAGCTCCAGCATTCATCAGCTACAGCAGGATATATTCACTGTCTAGGAGTGCTTATGATGGTTCTCCCCCAGAAAGATGGATGGAAAAATCCCCTCAAGTGTAATGAGGAGAAGAAGCAGAGAGTAAGAATGTAACACAGGAGCGCGAGTGTGAGCCTGGTTGGTCTCATGAGAAATACCAGCAGCCCCTGCTTTTATTCAGTGCCTTCTCCCAGCTCTGGTGTGTTCCTCGTGTTCCTTGGATACTGGGCAGCTCAGCTGATCCTTCTTTGTGGCAGTTGAACTTGGAGCAGTTTTTTGGGGCCAAAGCCAGTATTCCTGTGTTTAAAATGAGTACTGAGACAAGAATGCTGCTCGCCCCTCCAAGTGTTTCTAGTGGATCAACAAACAGCTGAACAGCCTTTCAGAGCTGCTGGGCTTCACACTGTCCACAGCAAAAGGACATTATAGAACCCTCGTGTTTGCAGTTACATATAATGAAAAATCTCAGGTATTTTTTGTGATAATTGCAGGCAGTTTTCTAGTGGGGTTAAATAAAGGAAACGGTTTTTTGACTGCTAATTGTAGAAAACCCTAAGCTTCCTTCTGTATTGCTGCTTGGAAAAGTCTGTCTGGTCTCTTGACCTGAGCTTATTTCCTTTGTCCTTTGCTAAGTGCAGGCTTGCAAACTATTCTTAGTTGTTTTGCTTGGACGTTAACAGCTGCAATAACAGTGGTTTCACTTTTGTTCTATTGTACCCCATGCAATGCACCAGGATTGTAGCTCTTGGATTATCTCTGCTAGAACATCTAATATTTAAACTGTATTGCTATCATAATTTCACAATTTGACATAAACCCATATTCATATATTTGCACAAGAGTAATGCACACTGTAATGTGCATTTGACAAGCCAGGGTAGATTGAGTGTTCCAACAGGGAATGTATCCTTTGTAATCAGGAGAAAAGAGCACGGGGATTTACTCCGGGGTAAATAGACTGTGCTGTGTGCTTTCTCTCTGGCTGGCAGGAAACATTTGTAACTGCCAAATAAATTCAGTAATCAATGGTAGAGTTTAAATTATGTTGCTGTAGGTGATATTCCAGAGCTATTGTAGGGAAAAGATAATAAATTTTCCAGACCTTATCTACTTGTGAAATTTAAGAAGACATTTTTGGTGTCTTAAGTGTGGCTGTAAGACACAGAAATACTCCGAAGGGCCAGATATTTATTGGCTTAATACTGAGTTCAGCATGGCTAAATATTACTATCTTAGACTTTGAGTATTTGCAGCCTGCTTAAGTTGTAGAACCAGTGTAGTTGAATGGGAGATGTAATTGCTTTATTTCCCAGGGTTGTTGGCAATGCCAACCATATCAAAATATCTCAGTGCTGGCATTGCTAGCAGCTTGAACGTGCTCTCCTAACTAGGACAGCAGTGGCATTTCTGCAATCCAGCATCTTGTACTTTGTTACAAATTCATTTCATCCCTCTGCTTTCCCAACTATGGCACCATTGTATTGCCAAATGACTTCTGTGTTTCTTTCTTTGACATTAATTGTGACATGAAATAAGAAAACTGATTTGCACTTTATTCTTTTGCTGCAGTTAAGCAAACAAAAAAAATTTTTAGGATCCTGTGTCTACTATACCAAGACAGTTATATCTTTCTTTGGCTTACAGCTGAGTCACATATTAATCTTAAAGCTAGAACAACTAAAATTTAGATGATACTTGGTTAGAAAGGTTTTGGAATCATAGATCAGCCAATATTGTAGGTCTTGATTTCTGAAATGGTGTTGTTCAGTTTTTTGACTTACTTTGTCCCTAATTATACCTATGTGAATAATAAGTGGTTTAAACTCTCCTTTTTAAAACTATGTGTAAAGGTTACTGTGCAGAACCACAAGTGAAGGCTTAATAAAACTGATTTCAAAAGTAATTTACTGACATCAATGCTGTTTACTAAAAATAGACAAAGTAGTTTGGACTAATTTATGAAACAGAGGTAACTTTTGAAAGATTCTCTTTTGTGGAACGCTGCAGTATATGATATATTGATACATACTTCCCTCTCCTGTTTTTTGGTAGAAAATGATGCACCCTGTTGCCAGCAGTAATCCAGCTTTCTGTGGGACCGGCAAGAGCTCTTGCCTGAACGAAGACAATGTGAGGGCCGCGGATCAGTTTGACCTCTACGCCACGCAGCAGAGCAAGTACAGCCATGCAGTCAGCCACAAACCCATTGCCTGCCAGAGACAAGATGCCTTGAACGACCCCCACTTGCAGACCACAAGTGGCAGGAATATAGAGACAAAAGATGAACTAAAGAAAAAGAAAAACCTCAACCGCTCCGGGAAACGCGGAAGGCCGTCAGGGACCACGAAATCAGCAGGGTACCGAACCAGCACAGGTCGACCCCTGGGGACCACCAAAGCAGCTGGATTTAAGACAAGTCCAGGCAGACCCTTGGGTACAACTAAAGCAGCAGGATACAAAGTCAGCCCAGGCAGACCTCCAGGTAGCATTAAAGCTCTATCACGGCTTGCAAATCTAAATTATACTTGTGGCAGTGCAGCTTTTCCTTACCCTATGGTGCATAACAGAGGAGTCCATGCTGCTGCTGAAACTAGCAGCAAAATCAAACAGCCTAATGAATGAAGGGAGGGAATGAGTAACTCCTTACTAATCTGCTTTATGCTGATTTTGGGCATGTTTCTTGAGTTTTCTTGTAATGTTTGCTTAAGTCTGAGCTTCTAGATTTTATTCCAATAATGCCATAACCTACGGGTGCAATTAATAACTTTCACAGAATGTTGGGAAGGCTTTGGTTTAAAGAGGCTTCTGTTGATTTAAAATCATAATTTATAAGGAAGTCTGAAATGATACATTATGCCTTGGTGTCAATACTTAAGTAATGTCCATGTTCCTAGTTTTAAGTTCAGTTTCTCATAAACCTAGATGTGTGGTTATGCATTAAATAATTGAAATAAGGAGGACAGAAATTGGCTGGCTGATGGTTCATGATGTGGCCTGTCCCACAATAAGCAACTTAGCCAGTTCTTATTTGGTAAGAAAAATTGATAATGTGGCAAGCCACATTTTCCACTTCTGCAGGACCTTCTACAGACCTCAGATAGACTTAGAATAGACTTAAAAACTTATACAAAAAAAAAAAACAACCCAACCTTTTTTTCTAAAGTGATTTCCAGTGACTTTTATTTCTGGAGTTGTATCATTAAGTGAATTTCAAGTCATGCTCCAAAAACATTTTGGAAGATATTAAAGAAACCTGAGCATTTGTACAGTGTGTTCCAGCTTCACAGCGCCTTACAAAGTTACTTTGCCATTAGGTGAGAGCTGTTCTTTTCGTTACACTGTTACAGGATTCTGCTAGGTAACTTTGAAATGCCTAGTAATATATATACCAAACCACAAATAATTCTTTGGAATTTGAAATATTTTATAAGAAATCAAGTACTGTTCATTCTAGTTAGGCACTTGATTAATATTAAACAGTATGTTCTTAAATCTGTAAATAGCTATTTACGCTGGCTTTTGCCTTTCAAATCTGTGCTTAGATGGCGACAGTTTAATAGCTTTTAAAGTAATAACCAATAATGTTTACAAATTAAACTTTTTAAATAGACACTGTTGCCAAATTTTTAGACTCAGTTTTGCCAGATATTCCTGGAAATAGTTATTTCATTGTTAGATGTTTGTACTATATTTAAGTTATGGAAGCTTATCTATCTACCAAAGGACACCATTTTCATGATTTATAAAAGCAAACTGTATAGCTGATGCAAACAGGATGCAGTTTACTGCTCTGCTAGATCCCAGATATAGAGCAATTCATCTATGCATGCATGCCAGAAAAAAATGTTGTTGGTTAACTATAAATACCTTTCTTGACTCAAACTAAAACCTCCCCTCCTCCCAAAAGAAATGTTCAATTTTTCAACTGGGTGTGTGTAATTTTTTTTTTAAGTGTGGGAGAATGTGTGAGTGTGCAAAATCCTTTCATCCAGACTTCAAAAGAAAAAAATAATCAGTCCTCAGTGTTACATATTGTTTGTTCTAAATTAATTTTCTTTTTTCTTTTTTTTTTTTTAATCTGGAAGAAAGTTTACGTTTAAGTTGTTTCACATATAGAATGACTTTATGATAAATTCGTAGCTTGAAATACCTGGGGAGGGGGAATATGTAGAGTTTGCAGATTTGGGGGAGAATAAAATTTGGGTTGAGCTTGTGCTGAATGGGTAATGATGGTCATTTTTGCTAACATAAATGCTATTCTGGCCTGCTGTCATTTTGACTAGACCTCTTGATTTCAGTGATGACAAGTTAAGAAACAGATGTCATGTTTCATACCTTTTTTATCAGGAAAAAAGCAGCAAGCCTTCAGGTGTTCCAGTGATGCCTAACACATATTGAGCTGGACTTTTGCTGTACTTTACAATAGGTGTGTTGAATTGTTTTGGGGGAACTGTGTATGGACTGGCAACTAAGACAATGAACCTCAACTTGTACTGGATGGCTCCTTAGTCGATAGATGAACTAATGGCAGCTAAATTGCTACTAAGGAATAGTTTCTTCATGCTGAAGCTCTGAAATCCAGTTGTACGTTCTGTTCCTCAACAAACTCGCAAGTCTGAAATTTAGCAGTCTCTCTCAGAAGATGTAACTTCTGACACATGCAAAATGCTAATGTGAGTTCATTCACCCTCAGGATCTGTGTTGTATTGGCTGTTTTTAATCAGATAATTTTTCAACAAAAGACTGCTTTAAGTTCTTTCCTGAACTCAGCTGGGCAAGCAGTCCTCTTCAGCTGAATGTGTAACTGCAGGAGTGTCACACCTCGCTGGCAAGGAACGTGTTGCATGTCACCACTGTACCTTGGGGAAACTCCACTCCTTACCTCCTCCTGTTGATCCTGTTTGCTCCTGTCTGCTCCTCACTTGTGCATCCACTCAATGGTGCTGTGCTGTGTGTCAGGAGATAATGCAGATAATGTATTGCTGTTCTGCTAGTATAATTTGTATTCAAGTATGCTGATGAAATAATGAAATCACCTAAGCAATTTCTGTTCATTACAGTGTTTATTAATTATATCAGATGAAATATAATCCCAGTAAAAACTAATTAATGTTGTCAGTTGTGAAATGATGAGCATCAAATAGAAAAGTGTTCAGAGAGCCCACAGTGTGCTGCTTGGCGCTCTGGATGTAGGAAGGAGATCAGAAGTGCACTGCTGGTGTTTCCTAATTCTGCTTTATTTTACATCTGACTAGAGCTTACTGGTGCCATGCAGTGAAGGGAAAAAAAAAAAGAGGAGATTCAAAGTGACTAGAAATGGAATTTTCAAATACTTCTGTTCTTCCTATGTATACTCTGCAGAATACATTGTGCTTTTTTCAACACTTTTTTTTCATGAGAAACACTGAAACAGCATGTTAATGCCTAAACTTTATTAATACCAATGGGAAAACTGGCATTTTCCCCCCATAGTATGAAAACATTACTTGTATGGTAAATTGCTTATTTTATATTATATATCATAATTCAGCTATTCATAAGCTAGGATCACTGTTGTGTGTTAACACTGTTCAGAAAACCGACATGTCAAGTTTAGGTTTTAATAATTTCTTTTAATTATCAAGTTTCTAATGTCTTATTTATACATAAATGAAATGTATTAGCTTGCTATTATTCCTTAATTATGCTATAAAGTTCACTGTTTAAGATACATATAGTAACTACTATTCATTTTCTTGACTAAATTTACTTAAACTTTAAAACCAAATAATTTTGCTACTATAAAGTCTTGCACTGGACAGATTCAAGATGCTAGCACCATATTTTGGCAGAAAAAAAAATCAGATACCATCAGAAGCAGCTGACTTTGGTATCAAAGGTGGTATTTTTAAAATCAGCACTTAGCTTTGTCATGAAAGCAATGTTCTTTATATCTTGGATTTAGTTTAAAGTAATCAAATAACTAGAGCCATTAAAGATCTCTCTTCTGAATGAATATGTTTTCATTTTGTCTGAAGGATCTTAATGTTCAGTCAGGACAAAACCAAGCCTTGTCAGTGAAAAGTGATGTATCTGTGAAGAGAATTACCTGGAACTACAATACACCGAGTAATTCAGATGAGAATTTAACTCCCTTCCCCATTTTGAAGAGCTTTAAAAGGCAGAGCAATGTGAAGTCATTTGTGCAATGGTTTCATTAGCTGTGGCTCTGCTGTTCTTTGTTATATGTATAATAATGTTTCATGCTCCCCTTAGAGTTGACAGTTAAAACAGCTGATAACAATCATAAATACTTGGAACTGCAAACTTCATTTCTGATTACAAAAAGTTTATTCTTCTCTATTTTAATGCATATATTTTAACACCGCTAAATATATTTATGACTTTAGTAGAAACTAGACCTTTCTTCTTGTGACTTTTCTTTGAAATAGAAGAATCTGTATTCTGAAATTTGAACCACTTTCTGTTCCTTCAATCTTGCATCATTTGCTTTTCCACAGGTTTACTTTGGGGGTAACAGTAATCTGTTCAATAACTAGTATCAGCACCCTGTCCTCTGCTGTAAAAAGCCTGATTAGATACTGTGTATGTTTTTATGTCCATGAACTTGAGCTACTCGTGTGCAATTATGTGTATGGGAATGGAGTAGTGTTCATGATCTGTATTTACATCATCATATGGATGTATATTTATTAATAAAGTTAATACTTTAAAACCTAACTTTTTCCCTGTTTATTTTTTTAATACCTTGTAAATTCTGCCTGAAGATGCCAGTTGACAGCATCACCTACTTGTTACAGGCGTGTTACATTCATATATTTGCATTAAGACAAAAAGAGTGTGCGTTGCAAGGTGTCAGGAGATAGAGGAACGTTGCTTATTTTTTAATGAATTGAAAACAGTGTGACAGTAACTTAATTGTACTTGTCCTTTCGCTGAAAGTGGAGAAAAGGGGAGGAAAGGAGCTAAACCCTGTATGGATAAATAGTCAGCTGCTAACTTTTCCCTCTGTTGCACATGGAAATCAAATTGAAAGTACTCATGAATAAAATTTTCATGGAATGGTGATAATATTTAATTATTCTGTGATGTATAAGACATATTTATCCCTGTATTCCAGGGATATTTGTGCTATGGCAGGAAGGAGATTATGTTAGGATTAAATTCACAGTAAGAAATTGTTTTCAAGTTGAAAATGCTGTTTTGATTGAAACATAAGGAGAAGGGGGAATGAGGCAGCTTGTTCTTTGCTAGTCTGCACCAGTTTGGATTCCCTTTGTGCTTTTGCTTTCAGGCTTGCTCCGTTATCAGCTGATCTAATTAAATGTTTTCCCTCTATGTGCAAACCTCATGTTTTCTATTTTTAGACTATTATGTCCTCATTATTAGTGCTTATGCAAATTGGACTTTGAAAGAAAAATCTTCAAGTGAGAAAATGTATGCTGTAAGGAATGACACAGTTGGAGAAGTGCACCTGAGTAAAAACAAAGCTAAAAATGCAGTTTCTGTAATAAATGACCTGCATCTTCATTTATACACATGTACTTGATATTTCCTTTTCCCGTGTGCATGGTTCACACTCCCCTCAGTCACGACTATCAGTTTTTGACAGATGCAGAGTTTTGGTAAAATCTCGTTGTGCGCTGCTGACAGTTTTAAACACGTGTGTTAAAAAAGATAGCAGCGGTTGAAGTAATGTGTTTATTTTCAAAATGTCCCAAATAGTCTTGAGATTTCACTATTAAACTGAAATAAAGGAAAAACTAATTCTGCAAAAGGAAAAATACAATTCCCTAAAAAGGAATATGGGAGTATTTATCTTGCCTTTCTGCTTGGGAGCTTTGGTTGAGAAGCTGCTAGACAAGAACTCTTCTTTTCAGTTTTAAAAAGACGCCTTTAGTTTGCCGTGTTTTGCCCGTACCCCAGCCTGCTGTAGGTTGAGGCACCGTTTGTGTGCAGGCGCCTCCCAGCCGGGAGAGGATGGGAGCGGGCAAATCCCTCGCCAGGCAGCTGCGGCTGTGGGGAATTGCTGGGGCTGCGACACGCTTGTACCAGAGCAGGATGGGATGAATTCCAGGCACTCGCTGCTCAGTCACAGCAGCCTGCCGAAGCCATGGGATGGCACTTGCCTCGTTGCAAGAATTTCCGACCAGAGGTAATTTAAATCAACGGTGAAATGCCTGCAGCAGCATCAGCAGCCCGACAGCCGGCCCGGGCAGCGGCTCCGGTCACCGTGCGGGCTCAGCCCGCAGGGCGGGCTCACAGAATCGTGGGATGGCTTGGGTTGGAAGGGTCCTTAAAGAACATCTTGTTCCACACCCCTGCCATGGACAGGGATGCCTTGCACTAAGCCAGGTTGCTCCAAGTGTCCACCCCGGCCTTGGACACTTCCAGGGATGACGGGGCAACCACAGCTGCTCTGGGCAACCTGGGCCAGGGGCGCACCATGCTCACAGTAAATTTTTTCAGAAAATAATTTTGGTAAAGAATTTTTTCCTAATATCTAAATAATTCTTCATTGTCCTGTCACAACATGCGCTTGTAAATAGTGTCTTGTCCCATCCTTCCTGTAAATTCCCTTCAGGTACTGGGAGGCCGTAATTAGGTCACCCGAAGCCTTCTCTTTTCCAGGCCGAACACTCCCAATTCGGGGTTCGGCAGGGCCGCGGGCAAACTCGGTTAAACACACCCGCTTTGTACCAACACGAGCAGGGTTCAGCCCCACTCCGCTGCCCCACCACCACCCTCGCGCCCTGAGGGCTCTTCCCGCGGAAATACGAGCGGCGGCGGAACTGGAAGTGTCCCGGGGATCCGGCGGAAGCGGTCGTTGTCCGGGGAGACGCGGCGGCGGCCGCCGGGCCGGGGCTGTGGGTGAGGATGTGGCGGCTGCTGCTGGCGCTGGCCTGGCTCGGTGCGAGCCTTCCCGCAGGTGCGGCCGGGGGGCTCCGGGTGCGCGGTGGCGGGGCGGGCGGGGCGCGGCGCTGACACCTCCCTCCGTGCCTCTGTCCCCGCAGGAGCGGCGGCGGAGCGGAGCGCGGGCGGCCCCGAGCCGGTGCGGTATCGCACGGCCGAGATGGCGGACGCGATGCTGGGCAGCGCGGCCCTGGCCGAGCAGCCCGTGCTGCTGTCGGCGGTGCCGGCCGAGGCGAGCGGCGGCCCGGCGGGGGCTTGCGACGGGGCGGCGGCGGGCGATGCATGCGGGCCGGCGGGGAGCGGCCCCGCGGCCGCCCAGGCCCGGGAGCGGCCCGTGCTGGAGCCCGTGCTGCCCGCGCCCGCTGAGGAGCAGAACGGCACCGACAGCGCCAAGGCTCCCAAGGTGAACTGCGAGGAGAGGAACACGACGGGCATCGAGCGCTTCACGCTGCAGATCCTGAACGTGTCCCAGGTACGCGGGCTCGCTGCCCGCTGTTGGTGTGAACGCGTGAGGCTGCCCCGTCAGCCTGCCGCTTTCAGTGCGTGGCTTAGTGAATTTCCCTGTCTAATGAAGAAAACAGGTGACTGAGCAAGGAGGCTTTTTGGGCCATTCTGAGTAGGGAAAAAAATGGAGTTAGGGCTCGCTTCATGTGCCTGAATGTGTTATCTCTGTGCCTGGAGGGTGCTGCCAAGCTTTCTGCTCTGTGGACTGGTGTTTGTCTTGAAAATCGTTAATGGCAATTAGTGCCAGCTCTTTTCTTGTAATGGTTATGTGTATGTATATTTTTAAGTAATACACTTTTAAAATTACCTTTAAAAAAGGTTATATACAATTCTCCACCTGTTTTAAAAGGTGTGGCTGCTTGATCAGTATTGCCACATATCTAATAGATTGCTGAATGCTGCATCCCTACACAGGATGTTAAATACTAAATATGTCCATGTTTGTTCTCATGCTTTCTCCAAGGACCTGATGGAGTTCCTGAACCCAAACAGCAGTGACTGTACATTGGTCCTGTTCTACACACCGTGGTGCCGCTTTTCTGCCAGCCTGGCACCTCATTTTAACTCTTTGCCCCGAGCTTTTCCAACTCTTCGCTTCCTGGCACTGGATGCATCCCAGCACAGCAGGTAACTCACACTCCCTGTGCTCTAGCTGCAGTTCATTTCTGTTAGCTTTGAGTTCTAAAAACAGGAGTGACTTTTTTTTCTACATAAACTGACAATTTTGTTTAGTGAAACTGACACTTTTGGTAATGGGACTGTCTTTATTTCTTCCTCCAGAAGATTTCATTTCCTTCATGCTTTGTTTTTTTCTTTTTGCAGTTTATCAACTAGATTTGGAACTGTGGCTGTACCAAATATCCTCCTTTTCCAAGGTGCTAAACCTATGGCTAGATTTAATCATACAGACAGAACGCTGGAAACCCTGAAAGACTTCATCTTTAATCAGACAGGTGTGTAAATCAGGCCTGGTGTGCCAGGGAAGAACAGCCTGGCTTTAAGGTCCAAATTGGGCTTTCCTGTCCCTGTGCGTGTTCTTTAAAATGAATGTCATAAAGACCCTGTGAAGACTCAGCAGAGGTTCACTTAATCAGTTGTTGCTGTGAGCTGGATTTCAGCCTGTGCTGAGAGCAGAAATTCAGCTCCTTGGGCTGCTGTCACAGAGCAGGGGGAACAGTGGGGTTTAGCTAGAGAGGTTGCCAGAAGGATGGAGCATATCTTCCTGCCCAAAGATTTAACTGAGAATGAAATAAATTAAACTCTCTTTGCCACCCAGCTAGCTCTCTTCTAATCCACACTGAAGTGCTGTCTGCATTTCCAGAAACGCACAAAAAATTATATTCCTGAAACACCCTAAATTAAATTTCCATGCTCTGAAAAACTCTCACAACTTATCCAAGGCTGTGCTGTGGGAGGACAGAACAAGCCTTCTCCTGTTATGCAAATACACATAAAAATCACTGAGTTTTTATATCAGTAAGTCATATCCTGGGTTTATGTTAATGTACAAGGGCTATCTCACCAAAATTCTAAGTCTACCTGTGTTTGAGCCTTAGTCTGAGAGCAGGAACAAAGCTCCACATAAACTAAAAAGCTCCAGAAAGCTCCAGAGAGCTACAGCCTCTCTGTATTTAGCGATTACAATGTTGACCAAGTACTTTGTTTTTTAGGGATAGAAGCTAGAAGCGACGTGGCTGTGACAGAGGAAGACTGGGAAGGGCCCCTGCCAAGTGTCCTGACGAAGGGCATAGACTGGCTGCTCCTGTTCTCTGTGCTCTTCCTGGCTGGCTTTGTCATGTACGCCACCATTCGCACCGACAGCATCCGGTGGCTCATCCCGGGACAAGAGCACGAGCACCAGGAATAACCTCAGATGTTCAAACAGGGACAACATTTTGCACTTACTGGTAAAGTGGGAATTTCTATGGACTAGAAGTACCTAAGAATGAACTGTTGAATTTGTTGGTTGTAATTTATAATAATGACTAAAAATTGGCTTTATTTATGAAGTGCTGAATCTGTGACAAGCAGATTTGTGGTGATTCCAGTGGTAAGTGAACAAGTATGAAAAAACATGAACTAAAGTATTTATTAAGCTGCTCTGATTGACTGCTTTTTAATGGACTTTGATGTAATTAGGGTTACAGTTCTAATTTGTAGATCAGGGAAGATTTTTACATCATATTGGTCTGCGTGTGGCACTGCAAGGCAAATACTGATGAAGGGAGGTGTTGGTACATTAGTTTGACTGTCCATAAAATGAACTATGAAGATGTTTTAAATGATTTTTCACTCCCATGGAG